ACATCACACACACACACACACACACACACACTATATATATATATATATATATATATATATATATATATATATATATACTTATATATTTATAACATTTATAATATTTTAAAATACCAAGTGAATGTAGTTGGGCCTTTTTTCCAAATATTTGGTAACTTAATTTCTATTGATTGATTTGGTTGACGAGCTGATAGCGTTTATCTCCCCTTTCACTCTTCAGCTTCTAGCAGACTTCAAGAGCAGTCGGAGGCCATACGAGATAAGACCGAGAGGTTAAAGGGCAACTATCTAGAATGGTCGTTTGTTCACGGGGTAAGGCGTGGTCGTGTTTCTTGTTGCAAGAGTTAACATTGGCGGACAGGCTCCGTCTTTCAGACCCTGTCCGTGTATCGAAGAATTAAATCTTAATTGAGAGGTGGGGGGGAAAATACGTTTGGGGGGGGGGGGGGGCAGTTTATAGAGAAACGAATCTGTTCAGTGTTTGGCAACATTTAGCGAAGTTATGTAATGAGTGAGACTCACGTGTAGCAAGCGAACCCCCAAGAAGTAGACAATTTGTATATTTTAACACGTTTTTCTTAACTCAGCTTCGCGTTTGTTTGTTGTTAAAATTGACAACGAAAATTAGCCCACTTCTGATTGCTCTAGAGATCTGAAATTCGGCATGCAGGCTATTTTCGCCTAACAATTTCAGATGCAATCATAAAAACTAGCAATTAGAGACCTAAATTAGCTTAATTAAATTACGCCCCTTCTCTGTTTAAAGCCTATCGGTCGCTCAAGATTTTTAGTCCGTGTATTTAAAAACACTTAGTCAAGTCATACTTAATCAAGTCATTATTTTCTACTTTTTAGTCCACAAGAAAAACGTGGTTTTTAAAAAAGTTTTTAATATAGTTTATTTTCTACTTTATGACAAAAAACTTGGGTGGGGCAGATTTATGATTAAAGCGAAAAGCACACAATACACGAATTTTGGAAATTTGATGGTGAACGTACCCACGTTTTTTGTCATCAAATGTATGAACAGTCATCACAAGAACCTGCACAGCTCGAGGAAGCACAAAATCTACGAGCAGTCATTGGTAGATCCCCTAGGGTCGGAAGAAAAATTTATTTTCTACTTTTTAGTCCACAAGAAAAACGTGGTTTTTTAAAATGTTTTTTAAGTATTTTATTAAAGATATAGTAAGTCTTACACATTGTTTTGATCCGCTCCAAGTGACCCCACTTCTTTACTGTACAGCTGATTAAAAACACCGCTAAGCTTTTACCAATGTATGCTTGGAGAAAACAGTTCAATTTTTTTTTAGTTTGAACAAACATAATTGTTTTTCAATAGTTATTGGTTTTTTTTTTTGAAAATTATAATTGGAAAACTTAGGAAGATCAATAATAACAAGAGAAAATTACTCTGTTTATTTAACCTCGTTCGTTGTTTGTTTTCGGTTTTCAATTGCGTTGCATACAAATTATTTTTTAGTTACTTCCCCTGCATAGTTTGCTTAACGAACTATTTCCATACAGTGAGTGGTTTTCTATGTTTAGTTTACATGATGCAGCGAGTACTTTCCCTACATTTACTTTTCACGATATGCGAGTATTTTCCTATGATTTAATTTTCACGATGCAGCAAGTAGTTTCCATTGATTTAGTTCCCACCAAGCAAGTAGTTTCCCTTGATTTAGTTCCCACCATGCAGCAAGTAGTTTCCCTTGATTTAGTAGCCACCAAGCAAGTAGTTTCCCTTGACCTAGTCCCCCCTGATGCTGTGTTTACTGGAGTCCCCTTGATTTAGTCCTCATTGTTGTGTTTACTGGAATCCCCTTGACCTAGTCCCCACTATTGTTGTGTTTACTAAAATCCCCTTGACTTAGTCCCCACCCCCTGATGTTGTGTTTGAATCCCCAGCTGCCAGAGGCCAAGTTCGCCTGATCTAGCCCCTCTAATGTTGTGTTTGAATCCCCAGCTGCCAGAGGCCAAGTTCGCCAGTCCACAGGGCAGCGAGACCTGGCAGGAGATCATTAACTATGCAGAGAAGGTGGGGGCGGGGCTTATTGTGATTGGCAGCAGGAGTCAGGGCAAACTCAAGAGGACCATTTTAGGGAGTGTTAGGTAAGGGTGTCATGTAGGGTGTGTGGTGTCATGTAGGGTGTGTGGTGTTATGTAGGGTGTGTGGTGTCATGTATGGTGTGTTAGGTAATGGTGTCATGTAGGATGTGTGGTGTCATGTATGGTGTGTGGTGTCATGTATGGTGTGTTAGGTAATGGTGTCATGTAGGATGTGTGGTGTCATGTATGGTGTGTGGTGTCATGTATGGTGTGTGGTGTCATGTATGGTGTGTTAGGTAATGGTGTCATGTAGGGTGTGTTAGGTAATGGTGTCATGTAGGGTGTGTTAGGTAATGGTGTCATGTAGGGTGTGTTAGGTAATGGTGTCATGTAGGGTGTGTTAGGTAATGGTGTCATGTAGGGTGTGTTAGGTAATGGTGTCATGTAGGATGTGTGGTGTCATGTATGGTGTGTGGTGTCATGTATGGTGTGTTAGGTAATGGTGTCATGTAGGATGTGTGGTGTCATGTATGGTGTGTGGTGTCATGTATGGTGTGTGGTGTCATGTATGGTGTGTTAGGTAATGGTGTCATGTAGGGTGTGTTAGGTAATGGTGTCATGTAGGGTGTGTTAGGTAATGGTGTCATGTAGGGTGTGTTAGGTAATGGTGTCATGTAGGGTGTGTTAGGTAATGGTGTCATGTAGGGTGTGTTAGGTAATGGTGTCATGTAGGGTGTGTTAGGTAATGGTGTCATGTAGGGTGTGTGGTGTTATGTTGGGTGTGTTAGGTAATGGTGACATGTAAGGAGTGTTATGTTGTCATGTAGGGTGTGTTAGGTAATGGTGTCAAGTAGTGGTGTGTGGTGTCATGTACATGTTTGATGTTACCTGGTGTCATGTACAACAGGTATGGTGTCATTTACATACGTGAAATCATAAGGTTTCAAGTGCATGTGTGGTGTGAGTGGTGTCATGTAGAGGTGATGAACTAACTTGCAATACATTTGCAACTGTTTTGTGTTGTCAAAAGCATTTAGTCATCATTTTTATCTTTGAAATAAATCACATTGCACATTTTATGTTAGATTTTTTACTCTTACTTGTCTACGTTGTCTCTATGATTTCATCTGTTTTAAATGCCACATGTCATGACGAAAAGCCACATGTCATGATGAAATGCCACATGTCATCATGTCTAATCCCCACTTCCTGTCCCCCAACAGTGACAGTGTCCTACACCATTCCAACGTGCCTGTCCTAGTGTGCCGCAGCAAGGATCCGAACCCTGTCATCATCAGCCACTGAAGCCTCCATTCAACGCATTTCTTTTTTTTTTTTTTACATTTCTTAATTTTTAACATTAATGTGATAATTAGATCTATAAAAATATTTAAAATATATATGTATAGCAAAAAAAAATCACCAATAAAGAAAAAAAATATTGGCAGACGATTTTTTTTTCACGTCTGCAAGAGATGTTATTTTTAGACTTCTGTTATTAGAAATGACAGTAGTTGTTGCTTTAGTTGAAAAGTTGGTTTGGGATATTGGACGCTGGCCTAAGCTGTATGAGCCTTTATGTCAAGATTAGTGCTGACCAATGGGGTAAGGTCAAGCAAAAGTCGCTGACCAATGTGGTAAGGACAAGCAAGGGTCCTTGTAATTTTTGAATCTGTCACGTGAGATATAGAAGGGCGAGGGGAGATAGCAGGTATTGTGGGGGTTGTGTTATGTGGGGGGGGGGGGGGGGGGGGGGGGTTAGTGTGTTTGGCGGTGTGTGACGGAGTGTGGTGGAGTGTGTGGCGGATGTTTTGGGTGTTGAGTGTCTATTGTTTGTGTTTGTTTGAATGCGTTTGTTTGATTGTGTTTGATTGTGTTTGTTTGATTCTGTTGATAATGGACTCTCTGAGAAATGGTGGTTGATGTCGTTTGTCTTGTGTCTGCTTGGTGTCTGCTGTCTGTCTGTTGTCTGTCTGTTTGATGTTTTAGACCTGAGCACATCTGTACTGTATCGTAAATCACCACTTGTCTGCTATAATAATAAAATCAAATGAAGATTTTTTTTGGTGTAATTTATTACCTTTTTTTTTGTTGGTCAAACTTTTTTCACAAAACACCTGCACTCTACTTCACCTTTGGGCTAAAGACACGATTGTACAACTACACCTATAGGCTTTGGGCTAAAGACACGATTGTACAACTACACCTATAGGCTTTGGGCTAAAGACACGATTGTACAACTACACCTATAGGCTTTGGGCTAAAGACACGATTGTACAACTACACCTATAGGCTTTGGGCTAAAGACACGATTGTACAACTACACCTATAGGCTTTGGGCTAAAGACACGATTGTACAACTACACCTATAGGCTTTGGGCTAAAGACACGATTGTACAACTACACCTATAGGCTTTGGGCTAAAGACACGATTGTACAACTACACCTATAGGCTTTGGGCTAAAGACATCAGCTAGGCCTAAAGATATTTCGGTGTTTATATTTTATGCTGTCTCTCAACATAGAAGCTGTATCGAGAGTTTCTTGTAACAGCGGTCAGTTGAGGACTGACTGTTAGGTCAGTGTCAGTGTGGACAGTCTTATCTGGTAGTGCTGACAGTCTAGTCAGTGCGGACAGTCTAGTCAGTGTGGACAGTCTAGTCAGTGCGGACAGTCTAGTCAGTGCGGACAGTCTAGTCAGTGTGGACAGTCTAGTCAGTGCTGACAGTCTAGTCAGTGTGGACAGTCTAGTCAGTGCGGACAGTCTAGTCAGTGCGGACAGTCTAGTCAGTGCGGACAGTCTAGTCAGTGCTTACAGTCTAGTCAGTGCTTACAGTCTAGTCAGTGCTTACAGTCCTACTGTATCAAATCAGTAGACTCGGCAAGTTTACAAACAAAAGACAGCTCATACAAGATTTTAAGGGCAACTTTTAAGTCCATATGTATGTATATGTACAATATACAAAATACACAAACACACACATATATATATATATATATATATATATATATATATATATATATATATATATATATATATATACCTATTTACATAAGTTTTTTTTACATACTTCAATGACAAAAATACAACAATAAAAACTACTCAGATACCATCATTTCGGTCTGTCTGTTCTTAAAATAACGAGATCGTCTGTATCAAAGTTTCTACTGTCTTTGTTCTGTTGTTATTGTTCTCCGAGCATTAGGGCAGCATCTGGTGTTTCTTATTGATCACGTTGTGTATGAACCTCATGCTGAGTTACTTCCCTGCATTCTTTTATGTAATTACTTCATTCACCAACTGATGTGTAGAGTTATTTCCCCGTCAGTTGATGTGTAGAGTTATTTCCCCGTCAGTTGATGTGTAGAGTTAGTTCCCCGTCAGTTGATGTGTAGTGTTTTTCCCCGTCCGTTGATGTGTAGAGTTAGTTCCTCGTCAGTTGATGTGTAGAGTTACTTCCCCGTCAGTTGATGTGTAGTTATTTCCCTGTACATTTAACACAGTTGCTACACCAGCTAGAAACCCCATATGGTTTGACATGGTTTGCTTTTAGTGTAGTACCAGACGATGTTGGACCACATATAACTAACACTAGATGGTTTAGTGTAGTACCACATATAACTAACACAGAATAGTGTGGTGTAGTACCAGACGATGGTGCACCACATATAACTAACACAAAATGGTGTAACAAGACTGCTCCACACATCACCAACACAAGGTGGTGCAACTGCAATCCACATCACGAACGAAATGGCCACCTCGCTACATGACAAGATGAGAAACCCGACAGCGCAATCTTTAAAACAAAAAACTCCATTGGTAAACAAAAACTCAACGTCCTCAACAGTTTAGACCTAATTGTCTTCCTGCTAGTATGATTGAAAGGTGCACGATTGTCTTCCTACTTGTATGATTGAAAGGTGCACGATTGTCTTCCTACTAGTATGATTGAAAGGTGCACGATTGTCTTCCTACTTGTATGATTGAAAGGTGCACGATTTTCTTCCTAATTGTATGATTGAAAGGTGCACGATTTTCTTCCTAATTGTATGATTGAAAGGTGCACGATTTTCTTCCTAATTGTATGATTGAAAGGTGCACGATTTTCTTCCTAATTGTATGATTGAAAGGTGCACGATTTTCTTCCTAATTGTATGATTGAAAGTTGCACAACTGCAGTTCCAACACGTCAAACATTCGGGCCGATTGACGTAATAAAAACATTGCCTGACTGGGATTTGAACCCGCTTTCTCCGGGTTGTTCTGTCGACTGTGGGCGCCACCTGACGGCTATGGGGGGTAGGACCATCTTGGGCGTGACCTTGAGACGGTCAGACGCTGGTCGGGTGCTAATGGCGTCCTTCATACGGAGCAGGGCAGAGGTCGTCTGCGTCCTGGGATGGGGAAAATATTTTAGGGGTTGTAAGGACAATCTAGGGACAAACTAGGGACAATATAGAGACAAACTAGGGACAGACTAGGGACAGACTAGGGACAGACTAAAGACAATCTAGGGACAATCTAGGGACAGACTAGGGATAAACTAGGGACAAACTAGGGAAATTCTAGGGACAAACTAGGGACAATCTAGGGACAATCTAGGGACAAACTAAGGACAATCTAGGGACAATCTAGGGACAATCTAAGGACAAACTAGGGACAAACTAGGGACAAACTAGGGACAAACTAGGGACAAACTAGGGACAAACTAGGGACAAACTAGGGAAAATCTAGGGGCAATCTAGGGACAATCTAGGGACAATCTAGGGACAATCTAGGGACAATCTAGGGACAAACTAAGGACAAACAAGGGACAAACTAGGGACAAATTAGGGAAAACTCAAGACAAACCACGGACTAACTATACACAAACTAGGGACAAAAATAGTGACAATCTCTGGACTAACTGGGGACAATTAAGGGACAAACTAGGGATAATTTACAGACAAACAATTGACTAACTATGGACAATTATACCAGCCCGTGCAATGATACATATGAAAACTTTGACAGTGTCGCCACCTCACCACAAAATAAAAACAACAACTTGATAATACAATAATAAAACTGTACAATGCTCTAGTGATAATCGCAATAGCTGTAACCTACTATAGCAACTCTAAATTTTTTTTAAGTTTTCATAAGGGAAACAACTGTAACTAAATGACATATATCCAGTTAAAGTTTATTTTGGAATTACACAGACCCCAACCTACCAACGATCGGTCACAATTAAAACAATTTATTAATATGAAGTTTGAGTTACCTATCGAAGATTTTTAACGGCCTCCTCTTCTGCAAGATGTGCTGGCATCGTTTCCTTCGTTTAGCTGATGGCGTTGATTCTTTCAATTTTTCCTGTCCGAAACAATGTAAAACAGCAAGAGTTATCCTTCACAACTGTGCAGATAACAATTTAAAAAATAAACCGGGAGTTATCTCCCCTAAACTTTCTCGAATATTCTTATATAACTCGGAATATAGACATGATTTTTAATTACTTAAATTTTTAAAAATAGAATAGAATCTCATAGAAAAAAGAATCGCACACCAAGCGAACGCCAAAAAAAAATGTGCATTATAGTGCGCAATATTATTAGTACTTTATAAATTTACATGCATTTTTTGAGAAATCGGTAATAGCGTAAATTAGTACTTCCGGTCAACGGAAATTACTCAAAATATGATAGAAGGTAAAGAATTAGATCTTTTACTTACATGTGGAATTTCATATATCTATCTGAAATAGTACTCAAGTTATAGGCTTTTGAAAAATTCAAAGTAGAAAAAGTACCACTTCCGGTTATCGGAAATCGCTCAAAAGTTGAAACGGATCTACGATTTTGATAAAATATGAAATTTCATCAACCTAGCTGTAACGGTACTCAAGTTATCGTGTTTACTCACACAGACGGACACACACACAGACAGACACACAGACATACGGACAACATTGCAAAATTATGTTTTTCCGTAAAACGTCGAGATTTGCTAAAATCTCGATTTTTTTTTTTTTGCATGATAACAAGACTTTCTCTATACTTCGTATATACGAGAAAGTAAAAATTAGAGTAAAAAATTGAGTAAATTGGAGTAAAAATTAGAAACTAGAAACACATATCACATTTATATAATGTAAAGTAAGATATATTTGTTTTTTTTTATAGCCGACGGAACTCTTCCTTTTTTCATTTTTTTCCACTCTTTGTTTCCTAGACTTACGTTAAACTATGTACACATTTTCTGGTGCGTAATTCCAGTGCGTAAGCCTGTACTCTGGTGTGTTCATCTGATGTGTACCTGTGTTCAGGTGTGTACATCTAATGTGTACCTGTGTTCAGGTGTGTACATCTGATGTGAATCTGTGTTCAGGTGTGTACACCTGATGTGTACCTGCACTCAGGTGTGTACACCTGATGCCTACCTGTATTAAAGCGTGCAATTCCTGACGAGCCAGGATGTTGTCTTTGGGTGCCTGGTTGCCGGCGCGGTTGGACAGTTCCATCAGGGCCTGGTGGTGGAGGGCGTGGTCTCTGAGGGTCTGCAGGCGCTTGTGACCCTCGGTCTCCAGCTGACGACAGAAGATGTCCAGAGCACCCTCAGCCTGGGGGTGGAGGGTTGCAGGGGTTAGAGGTCATGTGTTTTACTGATCGTTAGTTAAGACACAATCACAATCCCTGCACTCAATCATAATGAAATCGTCAGTAAAAAAACAATTTAGAGGCCCTTGCTTAAACTCTGGCCTGCCTTATAATTAAAGCTACGGTATGTAGGAGATTACACAGCCAAATTGCTGCACAAACAATACGATCGTGTTAAAAGTGGACGCTCTTACAACTGTAAGTGCTTCCATTGAAAATGATTGAACTGATCGGATTCAAGCGTCATACAGGTGTTCTCAATAATCAATTAGCCTGTATGTTTGGACAGGTGGCCTAGTTTATTGACCCACTTACATGTGTTGTGTACAGGTTGTATGTCACAGACTTAGTCTGTACACCGTCTCACCTGTTGAGCCAGCAGTTTGTATTTCGTCTGCTGTGACCTGTTGAGTACAAAGGTCATCTTGGCACGTGCAGCCACCTGCCGCTCCAGGGCTTCAAGTCTGCTCTCCACAGCAAAGGTACCTGTAGTCACGTGACATGGTCATATATGGCATAGGGCGTGAGTAAATATAGGACATGACATGGGCAAATATAGGACATGACATGGGCAAATATGGGGCATGACATGGGCAAATATGGGACATGACATGGGCAAATATAGGACATGACATGGGCAAATATGGGGCATGACATGGGCAAATATGGGACATGACATGGGCAAATATGGGACATGACATGGGCAAATATGGAACATTACATGGCATACATGGGCTACAATATGCCTTCATATGCAGAATTCTCAGCAACATGTGAATTCTACTTCACCTGCCTTATGGACCGTTGATTCCCAAAAAATAATACATTTGGAAGGTACAGATATATAACATAACACATGTATAACTTCAGGAAACGTATTGTGTAATAGTTGTCTGCACATACACACCAAGTATGGAGTTAAGCACTCTATAATTAAAAGCGTTTTAGGCTTATGAACTTAAACATTTTTTAAAGTTTAAAAACATAGCCATTGATACACTTGATCAGGCGTGACCAGCATTAGACTCATCTTCTCCAGGAATTTTTTTTTTTTTAAATCCCGTCGAATGTTACATGAATTTTATTTTCGCTCAGTGATTTTGATTGAAAAAAAATTGGTCCATTATAGTGTGATTTAACAAATGTCATATGTCTAGTTTGACATGCCGCAGGATGAGATGACTCACCTGTCGTGTCATCAAATGTCACTTTTCTGCTGCCTCTGGTCCTCCGTGTGTCATCAGTAGTATATTAGGTCCCTTTTGGAGCGAATTCTTGGCGGAGGAGCTGGTGGGCTGGTACAATGGTTATATAGTAAAATACTCGGAGCAGGATGGTGAGCCTGGTACAATGAGATATAGTAAAATACTCCACCACCTGGTGGAGGGTGGTGGAGCAGGATGCGCAGCCTGGTACAACGACATATAGTAAAATACTGCGCCAACTGGGGTTGGCGGAGGTGGTGGGGAAGTAGGTCACCTTTTGGTGACCTTGTGACGTAATCATTGACCTTGTGACGTCATCATTGACCTAGTGACGTCATCATTGACCTAGTTACATAATTGGATTTTAATTTTTTAAATTTTAATTATTTTAATTTTATTAACGAGTTACGTAATTTGATTATTAGTTTACTTTTTAATTATTTTTATTTTGTTTATTTTTAATTTTATTTTATTTTATAATTAGTTAAATTATTATTAACTAGTTACGTAATTTGATTTTAATTACTTTGTTTAATTTAATTACTTTGATATATTTCTTTTCTTTGTTGTTTAATTTGTTGGTTTGTTTGAATGTATGTATGTTTTAAATAAAAGACTAACACTAGCCGTGTACTTTGTGAATAACATCCATTAAAGATAACGATCAGCCACAGCTGTTACGTATCGACCCGCCCGCGAAGTTTTCTCACCGCTGCCCGTTTTAATGGGAATGTATTGATCGCAGCCGCTGGCCCATCACAGCATGATGTCCCACCTAATTAAATTTTTTGACACCCGTCATTGATTTATGTGGGTTCGCGAAGCGATCCCACCGGGAGGTATGGTAATTAACGCGAAGCCAGCGTTAAGTGTGGGAACATCTGTTACCACGTTAATCGATTTTACCGATCGCTTTGTTAGCTCCGCGAAGTACATAGGTCATTATGCAACAGCTGTTGTGCGACAGCTGGTGGTGTAATTAGGTTGAGCAACCGGACATTACCTTGTTGGTTTTCTAGTACGCGTATGCTACACGTATATACACACACACACACACAATCACACTAAATTAGAACAAAAGTCTTCTTATATTTTATTTGTTTATTAACGTTTTTCCAATTCATCAAAGGCTTTTAAAATTTCATCCTGTAAACTCAACAGGCGCTCAAAGCAGACGCGACTCATACTAACACCAGAATTTGTAGGAAAATTAAGATCGGTCCCATCTATAAGCTCTCTAAGATTTAAAGTGTTTTTGTTCATGAATTGGCTAACAATCGCCAATTTAAATCCGGTGTGATTCATCGTTCGTATTTCCGTCACTTTATTGTTACTCCTGGCCACAAGTATCCAATCTTCATTAGACATCTTGAAATAATCTTTTATAATTAGTTCCAATAATTTGAAGTGTTAAACGTGTTATAATACGATCGTTAATATATTGACGACTCGCTGACGCCGAAAAGGGTTGTAATATAACTTTTAAATTTGCACCTCGAGCTTTCTTCAAAACAAAATAGGCTGCATATAGCCCACAACTGTTGGTTAGAATATCTTGTAACACTCTTGAATTGTAAACGAGTGGTCTGTTTGAATTATTTTTTATAAAAGACAAAATGGCCCGCTCCCGAGGTGGTAAGCCAAAACTATCGAAATAAGTAAATTGCGATAGTCCGTTGAAAAATAGACCAACCCAATGACTCCCTGCCTCCGAGGACGAATCTAAATTGATAATGAATGCCGCTTGCTTCGTTCTATCGAGACGCGCGGGTAACTGATCGCACGCTAAAACGGCAAAGAGAGTTGTGCGTTGCACAAATAAGTCCGCGGCCAGTATACTTTGTAGTTCTCTTGTGTTCATTTTCTTTTATAGGCCAAGTTAGGCGGTGTAATCTGTCAGCACTTGCCTCGTTTTCGAAATTTCTAACACCGAATCAAGTTCAGCATACACAATAACTTGAATCGGGTCAGCTGTAACTTGTGAAAATTTAAGTTCAATAGAAACAGGTCCGGATTTAGCCAATTCAAATTGTTCACCATCCAAAAGACTAGGGCTTAAATCAAAAGCAAACAGGGTATACCCGTTCTTAAAGTTTTTATAATCTATCCCATTTCCAGCATCTTTTCCAACCATACCAAGAGCGAGGTTACTATTGAAAAACGCTCTAATGGCTTGTTTCTTATCAAAGTCCATGACCAGTGGTTTTCCCGATAACGAGCGACCATCAACGCTTACATTTAAATACGTCAAGTGAAAATGTTGAAAATTGAAGGGGTTTTTCGTGTAACTTCCATTAAAGGCGGTAGAGGCGACTAGACCGATCACTAAACGGGTCGGTGTTTGACTCATATACAAATTGTCTTGGTTGTGACTTAACATACCTTTCGGTATAGCAAAGGTTTTTATTACAACGCGTTTAAAAGGGTATTTTGCATTTGTTGTCGTTAAAGCCTTTTCGTGTGCGATAGAAATGGCGGGGTTAAGTCTGGCTTTTCTAACCACCAATGTTGCGTACGTTATAACCGCTTTATATCCCTTGTTTGGTTCTGCTGTCAAGAGAGTGAAACTGTCTTTTGCGGGTGTAAGTTTAATTTTAATGTCAACACCATTCAGCATATACCGATCTTGAGCGAAAATGTCAGAGTGTATACGTCCCATCATATCGATCTCATGACTTTCAGCAGCGGTGGTGCGGCGAATCCTATACCCTTCATTATTGTCATCTTTGAATTCCTCGAAATAACAGGCTAAGTCCCTCGCATAAAGAGCGGCCGATAGAGACCCATTCTTGGCCTCTTCCCCGTGATTTAACGTAGCTTCCAGATAGGCGCGATACGGATAGGTGTTCTCACTAGCAGTAATTAGCGTATCGTTTAGAGAAATATCCACTTGTGAAAATAAACTGTGCAAAAAATAATTGACGGGTGCGACATCAACGTCCGCGGGTATTGAATCACCATTCGCTAAGGTTACTTTAGCGCGCACGTGTAAATAGGTATTAAACAAATCGAGATAGTCTTCACTGTTGCCAGAAATGGCAAATTCTATAGGTGCACCTTGTGCCAAGGACGCCAGGGGATGTATTTCAACAAATTGACCCTCCTCGACGGCAGTTTGTGTCGGGGGTGTACTAAATAAATCCAATCCAGAATGTAAGCACTCACAGGAACTCGGGTGAATAAGAGCCATGGTTAAGCAAATATATCTGAATACTTGGGATGCTTCTTCTTAACACACGTCTTCGAATGTTTGTGATTTGGTCTGCGTGTTAGTTTTATCTGTTGTTCGAAGGGTTCACCCGGTGGTCTCGAGAACCCCCGCTTTCTTCTCAACCCGCTTCCTGATTGGTTTTGTCCTAGGTGATCAACGGCGCCTTGCAATAAACGATGTCCGGCTTCCTTGGCGTGTTCTTTAAACGATTCTCCAACGTCTCTTCCCGCTAATGCGTCGTTTGCAACTTGCAACCCGGTACTAACACCTTCTCTGAGTAAAGCCTTACCTCCCGTCTTTATCCAAGGGAGGACCATTCGACCTAGACCACTAAAGAAACTACCAATACCGTGTCCTCTCTGATTTCGTCCACCGATAAAAACGGGTAAACCATCACCGTACTGGTTACAGTAAAAATCCTCGTACAATTTAGGGTTTCGATGTAAAAGTGTGTGTTTCACCATGGTGTGAGTTATTCGAGATCGAAATGTTTACGTGTTCTAAAATGGAGTGTCAACACCGACGTTCCACTTGTGAATGAGAGCGTTTGTCCCAAGTCATCGCATAAAAGTATTTCCACAGTGTCGAATGAAAAGCGGTTCAGGGGGATGTAGTGTGGTTTGTCGTAAATACGAAAAACGGAACTTGGGTTCTTCTCAACGATCGGTACGGTTCGAAGCAAAGGGACCATGACATCACCAACCGGTCTCGTTTTTACGAGGTCACAATAGACGAATACCGTTTTTACTTCGTCTTCAGGGAGATGTTTCTCCCTAACTCTACCAGGAATATGTAAATAGCCTGTCAACCTGTCACGGATGGTACTTTCTATTCCAGCCGCAATTACTTTTACGACAACTTTCTTAAATCCCTTGTTACAGTTTGAAATTATAACTTCCACTTTTTGTTCATCAATATCTCTTTTTATTAGTTTTTTAATAGCGTTAACAAGCGGGTCTATGTAATTATTTTTGGTCTGTCGTACTCCATATATGAAAAGGTTAACGTCTTCACCTTCTGTACTGGAATGATACTGGAGCCAAATTTGATGTTCTCTAAGCATACAAAACGCGTTCGGCATTTGAATCTCGACCAGACCAACTTCGTAGTGTAAACTCACATCGATAGTCTGTGGTAATTTAACGAAAAAATGCCCAGCCTCGTTGTCTGGAAAAACATTCGGTGATGTATTGCTAGGCAGGGTCACATAAAAACTCATTGTAAAATTTTGGTCCTTGCAATGGTTGGGTTAGGTAAAATATATCCGAGACAGCTGGATAACAACACGACCCAGAGTTTTCCCTCTTTGTCGTCGACCGTTCCACGCGTCAGATTAAATAGTGAAAAAGCAATGACGACAAATATAACCAACATTTGAGAGATGAAAACGATTTCCGGTCGTGTCCTTAGTCTACCGAACCAACTCGAAATGGTCGAACCGATAGAAGACGTGGTGGATCTAGGTCTCACCTCGATCCCACCGAACGGTCTGAGCGTTTCTTCCACCACGGGTTCATCCAGACTTAGGCTTTTTACCGTTTCCTCCATCCTTAGTCTTTATATTTCGAAATGTCTCTAGCTGAAATCCAACTGTTGAATGAAGGGTTATAACCGAACCACTTGACTAAATACTCTTTACCACCAACACCCTTTCTTTCTTGTATAATTTGTTCGACGCGGTACACTTTTTTGTCCCCCACTTTCTGAAGCTCCTCTTTGTAAAACGAACCTTTCACTTCTTCACCTGAATCATCTTTCAAGACATACGTTACAGGCGTTGTCGCGTTCACGCGGCTCACCGTAAACAGTTCTTCCGTCCACGAAGGGGTATAACCCTTTTTAAACGTGTTTCGACTTTGGCCGATCCGTACACGATCACCTTCGTTA